TTCATAGATAAATGAATAGAAAAGATAAAAGTTTAGAAAACTTCAACAAAAGGTGGAAGACAATCTTCAATCTCACAAAACTCTAAAAACAGAGTATCGATCTCTCTTTCTCACTTGTGTTCTCTTTTTTCTGTCGTTCGGGTCTGCCTCTCTTGAAAAGGGATCGAAATATCCTTAAATAAAGGTCTGGGACGGCTGGGATTGATTAGGGAAACCATAGGTGGCAAAAATAGGTTTAATGAAAATTTACAAAACTGGATCTTCTGCGGAGCAGGTCTAGCGATCGGGAGCGGGTGCTCCTTTTCTTCAGAATCTTCAAAAAGATCCAATTTCTCTCTTTTTTCGCCAAGTCCCATTGTGAGTTCYAATCCTCCATTCCAGCCTCCTTTTGACCTAAAATGACTCAAAGTAAAGCAAAAGATTCGATAAAAACCTACAAAACAAATGTTAGAATGCGCCAAAAACGCATTATATCATGAATCAATTTAATTAATTCCAGACTTAGAATTTTGTTTCCAATAAGACAATTATGATTAAATCTATTTTTCAACGACAATTAGGGTTACGTCAATACATCAACGGTAAATAATTCATCTGGATAAAATTAAATGGAAGAACATATAAATTATTAGAACCTTAGTGCATTCTTAAGACTAATCAAATTTGTAAATTATAGTAGCTATATATACTGTGATAAAATCACAACAACATTTTTTTTCTTTTTTTGAATTGAATGTAAAATTTGTATTTAAATCAAAAAAAAATATTTTTTACAATAAATGCGTCGTTATGCTTGAATTAAGAGGAGATAAAAATCAAGATTATTATCGTGTTTCTAGCCAAATCTCCATCGCCTCACCATATGTGATATCACTTGTGGCTCGGATAGAGTTGATGTGATTCATGACATTTTTGTCGATCGTCTTGATTAGAGTTGCTGGCAGTTGAGCTGGTTCCCCATGTCTGCGCTGATTTTTCTCCTGCCATACATAGTATACAGTCATCTGGAATGCATACCGGACCACGAAGTGATGAAATTTTTGCCAAGGGTTGGTGAGGAGAGGCACAATTTGTGCCCAGTTTGATGTGTAATCTGTCCCGAGCAGTGATTGCGTAGTCTTCCTCCACACTTCTACAGAATAACTACACTCA